ATATTTTGCTAGCCAACAATAGCAAATAACTGAAACTATTTGTTCAGTTTCAGACTTTATCTCAGTATTTCACATAAATGAAAGGACTGGAAGAGGAAATGGTGGAAGGCAGAATCTTTTTCTTATGTGTACAATGCACTGGAATCTCAAACCTATTGTCTCCAGAAGTGTACCAGAACACTCATACAATCTCTTCTAAGTTTCTGAAACACATGCACATGGCTCCTTTCCTCATCACATCCTTCCTATCTCAATCATCATTTTCCAGAGAGTTCATGATCAGTAAAATAAATACTGTGCAAAAAATATGTACTGGGACAACTGAGTTTTGAAAAATACTAGCTGAAATTTTCTTATGCATAAGTAGTACATAACATTTTCTCATAGAGGGCTTCCATAAGCCTAGAATGAAGGTGGTTAATTAGGGGAGACCTCCTAGCTGTGCAGAACCATTCCGATTTCTTTAAGTAACCGCCATCATTATCATAAGGGTATTTACAGAAAGCTGAGCTGGACAGCTATTGTACAATCAGATCTGGCAAATGCACAAAAATTGCACTCCAGATTACACATTAAGGCACTAATTATCCAAATGAAGCTCCAGGGGCACCTTAGGTAGAGGCAGTATGGTGAATTAAGGAAGGAAATAATTAGTCACAATTACAGAAAGTAGCTCAACACAAAGTGAAAGAATGTATGCAGCCTACTTCCAGCAGAGCACAGCAAGCCTTAGTAATAGTTTAAGATTAAATGCAAAAGACAAACATGACTTCTAAATGTAAGAAAGGGACAAATCTCAATGTTAAGTTACAAAAATGACTTTATTTATTTTCTGTTTCTACGTACTACATAGCCAAATAATGTTAAGATATTTTATCATGAATTTGCACTATGATAAATCAACTTTATCAGACCTCTGCTTGACAGACCTAGAGGTTTTGCCAGCATTTGACACAATCCAAACACATAAAGACAATGAGTAAATGAGTAGCTAAAGGAAAACTGAGCAAGCACATAAGGCATAAGTGTCAACCCCAATAAAAATATTCACTGAAGAAACAGAGTACGGTGAGAGAATAAAGAAAGTAGTAGATGTAAGCCACGACAGAAACTATGCAGGCCAGATGCACGCTTACAATCCCAGCCCTCAGGAGGCTGAGGCAGTAGGATTGAGTTTGAAGCTAGCCTGAGCTACATATGAGACCTGTCCTAATAAACAAAACCCTCAAACCAAAAACCAAACAAAAAACAACAACCTTCCACATCCCCCCAAAACCCAAAACCCAAAACAAAACAACAACAAAAACCCCATGCTTAAGAACTGTTATTTGACATGGCCAAGAAACTGAATTGTCAAAGTTACCTAACCCTTGTCAAGGTCTTCCGATTTAAAAAAGATCCCTTGAGGCAGAGGGAGACCCTTCTCTATCTCCCCCAAAAGAATATATAAGGGTGCCACCTTTATCAGTGAATGACTTCGGGAAGATGGAAATAAGAGTGGATGCATTTGGAAGCCTGGCACAAAACTGTATTGGAAACATATTAGGGCTTAAATCTGAAAACTCATGGAAGGTCTGGCCACGATACAAGTTTTCTTTCCACATTTCTGAATAGACAAAAGGGTCATATAGACCCTTTAGGCAGTCCCTCACTAATTACCATGCTGTTTCATTCATTTGTCTTTTTTTCTTGTAGTACTGGAATTTGAACATAGGGTCTAGAGCTTGCTAGGCTGGAGCTGTACCACTTGAGCCACACCCCTAGCTGTTTTGCTGATTTGTTTTGCTAGCTTGGGGTTAGTATAAAACCCTATCCTGATTTATTAAGATTTTACCCCAAATGTAAATGGTTTGAATAGCATTATTCAGAATTCATAGGAGAATGTTAATTCAATCTTTCTAAAAACAAATTGAAATCACATTGACATTTATCTTAATCTGTTCACTAAGCACTACTGACAATTTTCATAAAGATGGATCATGAATGTTCACTGTTCAAATAAACATGTCATTACTATTGACCAGGTATTTGGTATGAAATTGGATTAGAGAATAAAATGACTTAAAGAATGGGTTTTTCTTATAGTAGAAATAAACAACAGTTCTATTTGTTTATAAGTGGAATTTGTTTATTATGTTAATAAGAGATATAAAGACTTTTGTTTTCTCTTTCTGAATACCAGAAATCATAAGTAAGCATATTGTAAAAACATGGATTTCTTTTACCCCAAATAACCTAAAGAAGATTCCAGGTTGTCTCAACCCCTGACAAAAGCACTTGGTTCTAGCATATAGCAGGTGTATTTCCCCAGCTTTCCTCAAAAAGCAGTGCCTGTTGAACAAGACACCATGTAAATTGTAGAATTCATTAAAATACCTGGGAAGGACAGTGGCAGGGAAAGTCACAATTACAAATAACAGATTTCATTGCATCAAGATCCTTGAAATTAAATATGCTGCGTCAATGACAAAATCCACACATAATAAGAAAATGCAATAGTTTTCTGAGGCGTCATCTTAGGTGGTTCCATAAGATAAACTTACATGTTTCATTTCAGTCAGACCATCCTAAGCACCGTTCTGTACTTCACCAAAAAGCTTACCCACCTGAGCTTCAAGCAGCCGCTGGAGTTAAGAATACACACAGTGCTTTTATATTTGTACAGCAGTTTCTCATAATCTTATAGAAGGTGGAGAACGAAAGCTAGTTGTTCTTTTTAGCAAGAGCACTTGTAAAACACAGAAAAGGCTTCAGTAAATACCCCATACACTGAATTGACCAGCTAAGGAACTTTAGAAAAGTCAGCAGTTCATTTTCCTGAGTTTCCCATTTGAAGGATATATAGTAATGCTTTTTAGTTGAGAATGTGAACACAACCTTACAAAATTACAAAGGGCCAGAATGAGAAAATCTAGACTCAAAATTAAGCTTGAGACACGTGAAGTTTTACAAAATCTAATAGAAAGTTTACAATTTTTTCCTCTTAAAACATAATGTTGTAGAATTATATTGATTTACTGAATGTTATTTACTACTTAGGTTGGGGGTCAGCTGCAAAATCGTTAAGAAAACAAATGAAATTATTTTGGAAGTTTGAGCAAGTGATAAAATCTAATTCTTAGTGACTTATTTTGGTTAGATACCCCATGAGATTATTAATTAACATCAGATAAAGTCTTCAGCATAAATATGTTTTTTTAACCTGAATAGTTCCCTTTTGAAGGGTGATATAGAAAACAACTATAAATTTTAATCCAGAAAAATAGTGCACCAGTGTTTCCATCAGTTGTGTAAGCTTATTTTTTTAACAGTGTATTTTAGTCATGCTCAACTATGGACAATCTGCCAACGAATTGTTTAAGACAAATAGGGCTATGTTTCTAAATGCAACACATTGTTCATACTCAATCCCAATATTCTGGAATTGAGCATTTTATCATATGAGAACTATAAACACGTTATTTCAAAACATTATTATTTCAATTTCAGCTTTACATAAATCAGCTATGCAAAATCACCACTGTGACATGTTAACCAAAGGAAAATGTGAAGAACTTGGCCTAATGATTGATTATTAAACAAATGAAATGCATCTCTTTCCTTTAGACTTCAGCTCATGGTGTATCTTTTTCTTTTCTTTGCCATACTGGGGTCTGAACACGAGGCCTCCAGCAGGCTACAAGCAAGTGCTCTGCCACTGAGCTGCACTCTCACCTCCCATGCTATCTCTTCAAACACAATCAATGTCCCCCACGTCTGCTAAGCAGCACCCACACCTGCCTTGTATATAATGCAATATAGCACGGGAAAATCCACCAGAATCAAAAACAGCACTTTGAAACCTCAAATCATCTTGCTACTTTCTGTCATTGTTAAGTTACAAAACTTTCATAATCAGTCAGGGAAATATCTAGCCCATGTCCCCATACTATCTATGCTGGATTTTAAGTACAAAGGTAAATGGAAACTTTGCTGACCATCAGGCAAAAGTTATTGTTAAGTGACATCACTTAGTTTATTAACGCCTTTAAAAAAGTAACAGGCCATTTAGATGAGATACACATAGCATTCACAGCAAGGGCAGACTTTTGGAAAAATCCATTAATATGTAGATATGTATAAATGGATTATTTTGTGCAACAGGCAGAATTTAAATAGATTTCCACTGCCACAGGGCCCCTCACAAAGGAAAGGGCCTGAACGGAACTCACCAGCTCTTCAACAGAGCACTTTAGTAGTGAAATTTTTTTCCATCTGATGCATCTGCATATCAAGATATCAAAAATGATTAAATTTCTCAAAAACAGGCTTCTAATTCTATGATTTAAAATTTCATTATCTACTAGAATATTAAATCTAATTTCTTTAAGATTGTTTGCCAGCAGTACACAGCAGTATTGAAATTAAAGAAGAAACTAAAAAACTTTTGTATTTAATTTTTAAATGGTATTTCTAGGACAATGGTAAAAAGGCAATCAGTTAAATTATAAATGACCAACTCAAGCATGCCCACTAATAAGGATTGCTTGTTCACCCACTTACAAAATCCTTGCCTAAGGATAATTATAACTGTCAGGTATATGAAATAATACAACTTAGGGTTCTAAATTGGAGGCAGGAGAGGGGGGATTTAAAAATAATATGCTGAGACAATGCACTTATGTGAATTTACACTCCACAGAAAAGTTTTCTGTAGAATGAAAGACTTGGCCAATGGAGAAGACAACTGGTATTAAAATAACTAGCACAGATTCCATGGTACACATATAATGAGAACAAAAACAAGGACCCTGTGCAGGTGTAAATAAGCTAAAATGGCCTTGGCAAAATACCTTCATCAATTTAAAATATGCCAAAATGCATGCAATTTATAATTCCTTCCCTTTCATGAGAATGAACTAAAAAAACACTGCCCCCCAAAAAACCCAACGGAACCATCTGCCTCTGTCAGTAGAAAACAATAATATATTAGGTTCCAAGACAAATAAAACTTTAAAATATTAATATTGAAAATATACAATTAAATTTTTATTAAAAAATACAGACTCCTTACTCAATCTTTGTGTACATTTTGTTCTGTGTGAAAAAGAAAAAAAATAAGCTAGGAAAGGCATTAAGACTACCTAATTATTTATACTGTATTTGGTAGAAGCATGTGTCAGTCAAACTGTGATGAAAAATAAGTTATTCTGCTTTCATTTGCTCCCGGACATCAGAGGGCAGAGTTTCAAATAGAGCATCTTCCACAACTAAGCCAGCTCGCTTTAGAGCCCGGCAGTCTCCCAGTTCGGGTGGGAGGATTTCAAAGTGATTGCCTTTAACATCTAAGTAGGAGAGAAATAGTAAATTTCCAATTTTTGGTGAGAGTACTGATAGGCTGTTTTTCCCAATCTTTAGAGTTTTAAGTTTCTTGCAGAAGTAGAGTTCATCTGGAAGGCTTTCCACTTTGTTACAAGTGATGGAAAAATACTGTAAACTTTGAAGCACTCCTATTTCGGGTGGGATAAATCGAATGTCATTGTAGGATAAGTCCAAGTAGCGGATTTTGTTGCATAGGAAGAGGTGGGAAGGCAGCACCTCGATCTTGTTGTGACAGAAGGACAGTCGTTCCAGGCTGGTGAGTTTCTTTATGTGTTCTGGGATGTAGGTGATGCCATTATGCCACAGTTTGAGCACTGTCAACTTCCTCAAGTGCTGGAAGCTCACGATTTCTTCTATGGACTTCAGATTGTTTTCCTTCAGGTCCAGCTCCTGGAGGCTCAGCAGGCTGAACACAGCATGTGGAATGCGCTCCAGGTCACAGTGGACCAGCTCCAGCTCCGTCAGGTTGGTCATCTTCTTCAGGTTGTTGAGCATCACCAGCTTAGTGCCGTCATTATGTATGCACATCTTCTGGAGGTGGCTGGACACATCCACCACTGCCTGGGGGATTTTGGAAACGTTGCTTTTGATAGAGAGAATTTTAAGGCTTTTGAGATCCCGCAGAGACTCCAGGGTGATATTTTTGGAAATGTCATGACTTAGAGAGCCAACCAGGTAGAGCTCTTCCAGATTCCGGAGTCCATACATCCAGGGGGGTAGCTCCCGGATGTCATCAAACTTGACACTCAAGACCTTGAGGTTTTCCTTCAGGAAAGAGAGTGCTGCGCTGTGGATTTTGACAGAGCACTGGTGTAGAGAGAGCTCCTGGAGATTGTCAAGCTGCGCGATGGTGGCGGGTATCATTACGTTCTTGATGATCTCAAGCTTTAGAGACTGCAACTCTGTGATTTCAAAAACAGTGTCTGGCAGGCCAGAAAGCATGATAAGAGGCAATTCCAGTCGATTATGGGCATTCGTCTGCAGCTTCTGCCTCAGTTTATCAGGAGTCCACTCATTATTTAAGTTCAGCTGCTTTAGTTTGTTTTCACTGACTTCAGACAGGAACACTGCAAATCTCTTGGAATAGAGGGGGTCATACTGATCTATCATATGAAGCATAAAAGCAAAGTCATTTTTCACGTCTGGAATATCGTCAATTCCTGTCTCCTGCCGGACATATTCAAACGAATATTCCCTCAGAGAGCGGTAGAACAGCCAGTATAAGGTATAAAGGCACGTCAGCCCGTAGATACTTACGAAGCACAAATAGCAAAAGGAGAGTTTGGAGAACAAGTGCGCCATGGTATGATTGCAAGAAAAGTTTTTATATCCAGTCATGTCCTGAATGTCGACATTACAGTCCACCGTGAACTGGACCTTGGAAACCAGAGCGCTATTGTAGGCAATGATGATTAGGAATTTGATAACCTTAAGTACAGTCTGGCGAACATACATGGCATAGAGTATATCCCCTTCTTCCACATGGATCCTAAACTTCTTCACCTTCTCAAATAAGGCCTTTGCTTGCTCGCCTTCCTTTTTATCCAGAGCCCCTGCAGTAGCTTTGTCAACCACAAACTTCTCAGGAATTGACTTTAGAGACTGAGAGTTGACTAGGCTGCCTTCAGGACCAGACTGGGTGGTGTTGGACCTGTTCAAGTTATTCTTCCTATTGTCTTTTTCTTCTGAATCCTCCCCAGATACTTCAGATAAAGCCCGCGTGGTCCAGGGAGAGTCAAAGCACTTCCCCAGGATGGAGATGAAATGTTCTATTTTGGAGCTGGAGCCAGGGAATTTGAACCAAAAGTTACTGCAAAGCATGAAGACCAGGGTATGGATGAGCACAAGGTAAGGGAAATACTTGGCATACCAGTGAAGGGCTCGCTCATAACACATCTGGTTTATAAAACTGTACTGCTGGAGGTCCAAATCTGTCTTCAGTCCTTTCATTTCCACGGTGGTGGGGTTGGCAGGGGATGGCTTAGGGGGAGGCAGCGGGGTGGTACTGGCAATTGCTTGAGAGACATTTGAAATGAAGAGTGGTTCTGAGCAGGCTGCACTCTTTTTGGAAGGCAGATTATCTTGTCTTGCATGACCTGAAACAGAAATAATATTTTCAAATTATATTACTCAAAGAGCTTTCATAATGTCATTAGTGCAAAGAAAGCAGCACTAACATCCAATAAATGTCCATTTCCTCTGCCTGGAGAATATAATGTTCAATTCCAGCACCAAGATTTTATTCTTAGCTCATCTGATGGAAAAATGAAATAGCAGACTTTGTTCATCATGTCTAAGTTATGACATAAAACAGTAGTTTTGTCAGGTCATAGAAAAAGTTATGACAAAGAATATTTAGGAAACATTTACTATGTTTCTTTAAATCTGCATTTCTTCTCTCACTGGAGCTAAAGAAAATCAATCACTGGTGTGGGAAGTGCATCCCCTTACCAGATTCAATCTAGAACTGGATGGCTCCCAACATTACCTTAGTTTGTGTATGAGCAGCAAAAGAACTGGATAGAAGAAATATGGAAAAAAATTCTTGACTTTATTACACACTCCTTTCTTTCTTTCCATATTCTGGACATGTACATAGATTAACCTGAATGGCTTTAACATAATGGCAATTCTACTAAACTTTTATAAAAACCATTTCTTCAGGGAGAGATGAAGATACAGAGGTGCTGAGTAGTAAAATAATTATATCTAAGCTTGCTAGCTTTTAAATACAGTATTGAGAACCTCTTTCTCTCTACCAATGCTTTAATTTGCTGAAAAGAACATTATGCTCTAAGAATGTAAAGCAGTCTCATAAGTTTGTAATGTGAGAAAGACAGAGTGCACCCTTATAATAGCTGAGGTAGGATGAGCCAGAATATATTTTGAATCAAATCAGAGGAATAATCCCCAACAAGAAGCCGACGTAAATGGAATAATTTGAACAATATGCAAGGAATCTAAAGGAAGAACAACCAGGAAGTACACAATAATACCTTGTCATATGGAATCAATAATGCAGAAAAAGTCCATTTGTACCTTACAAATGGCTGGAAACCCACAGTGTTTGGTGTTTTTACAAAATCTAAATATCTACTGATGTCGCCACAAAGCCCTTTGCATTGATTATAGAGATGGAAACTAAACTCACTGCCAAATAGAGTGTGATGACATGGTATGTGACCATAAGCTAGTGACAAGAGGATTAGTGGCCCACTAGACAGACGTACAAAGTTAACAATGGGTGGAAGCTTCCAACATTTACAGAAGTGCCATGGGAGACCACCCGTATGTATTTGCTGAGAAAGTGAATGCATCCAAAACCGTCATCAGTCCTTCCAGGTGTGGGGGGCCTTCTAGGCATGAAGATGAATGTGGTGATTACAATGAAACAACACCAAACTTACATTGTGCTTTATATGCGACTGCCCCAGTCTCATAATGTGAGTAGTAATTCTTTCAGCTGGCACCTTTAACTGATGAGGCAGTACTCTTGTACCACTTTACAGAAAAGGAGATGGAGGCCAGGACTCAGGTTAAATAACTCGCTTAGTATCATCTAGTTCAGGATATTATTATTTAACTGCATTGAATTTCTAGGATTAAACCAAATGATCCCAATTTGACTTTATCCTAAATAACAGATTACCTTCTACAAAAATTCACATTTTAGGAACAAATCCTACTGTTTCTCATATCCTATGCATTTAACAAGAAATGAGGCAAGAGGAAGTGGAGACTTCACTGCAGTTTATAAAGCTCTGTCTTGGAAAATAAAGTAAGAAACAAGTAGTTACTATTTAAGTCAAAAGAAAGCAGGGAGAATAAGTGTGATTACGTTTAGAGGGCTCAGTGGCTACAGAGATGTGAGAATCAAGCAGTGAGCTTCAAACATTTTTATCACTCATCAATATCAGAGAAAAGATGTTATGCGTGCCCACCCATATGTATGCCTACTCATAATTATATCTATGTATCAATCGATATTTCAAATACTGGGAAAGTTTAACTTCTTTTCCATTAAGTTGAAAATACTATAAATGAAATTTTTTTTGTGTTTTTAATCTTCTGTCTCAATAGAGCATCTTTCTTATTTCTTAGGGGTTGATCATCCTGCTTTGGCTATCTCTAGAATAGAAAATATTAGGAAAATCCTAGACAAATGCCAGGATAGCCTGAAGAAATATTCAGAAACAATTATGAAATTTGGTGGTTAGGATCACGGTCCAGATACTTTCCCATTTGTGGTCTCATTTAATGCTCCAACAATCCGTGAAGTAGGCAGAAGGCGGTGGCATTCTCCCAGTGCGCATTCTCCCAGTGACACCCTCGAGCTAATATGCTAGTGTGACATTGCAAAGGATGTGATGAAAACACACAAGAATCTGTCAAAGCAAGATCCTTTAGAAGATAAAACAGGCAGGTTCCTCCTGAAGGTGCTAAATCCCCACCCAGCAACCAGACAGGCTCTTACTGCTTTTCCCCCAGACTTGCTCCTCCTGGTGGAAGATGGCAGGCTTTGTGTAAGATTTCGGATTATGCACTGCACCCAGGTGCCCGGCTGGGGTGCAAATGTGGGCTAAAATCTAGCTTCTCTCACTTAGCTGTGAGGCTGTGTGCACAGCATATTTTTTCATATTTTACCCAAAGGCACCTAATTGGCTGGGATCTCCTATGCTGGGGAGATTGGTCATGTTCTCTCCATTCTACAGAAGAAGCTGATCTAGGTTTGGAAGACTTAAGTTCACCTAGATAGAAGTGGAATTCTACAACAGGAATTTAAAGCTGTCTTCTGTGTCTGGCCTGTTTTTTCACTGTTCCACAATGTCCATCTTTGCATCTTACCAGTCACAAAGGAGTGGGGGATACTAGGACAACCCTCAGGAAAAAGGTTTGAGAGTAGAGCCACTTGGTGTTTGGGTGAGGGGAAAGAGAGAAGGAGGAAAATGAGTATGTATGTGTGCGTGTATAAACCAAACCAAACCAGAGATCCTGATCCAAAATACATCAAGGTGAGAAAAAATAATATTGTAAAGGCTGACATGAAAATACTTAGAATGAAATTATTTATGTTAGAAAAATAAGGAAGGGTGGGAAATGAGGAGAGGAGACACAGAAGACGGTGAATCACTGATGGAGAGGGTCAGATACAAAGAGATGGCCGATTTGCTCCCTCTATGTGGGGAAGAACAGACTTGGAAGTAGGGGGAGGTGAGTAAGCAGAGCCAAGGGGGCTGGAATCAAAAAGTAGGTCAAACAACACGGCAGGTGGACAGATAGTGTATATACGCATCATTTCTATTTTGAGATGCAAATACCTTTCAGTCTTCCTCCAATCATTAGTAAAAATTTGCTATACATACCCAGGCACACATACATTTTTAATATCAAAGTTACTTTCATTATGAATGAATTTTGTAGAAATCACAGTAAATTTCATGGTTGGATTAGAGTTGTACAAAAAGGAAGAGTTTGCTCAGGACAGGTGAAAATCTATAATCCTAATTTATTTCCATGGAAACAGAAACTGGGACTGTGAGAACTGAACCCTTCCATGTGAGTCAAAACTTGGAGAGGGCACTGGACCAGCGTCTGACACAATATCCTCCAGATTTTTAAGAACAGCTGACATTTAGTTTACAAATGTGTACAAAATGATCTTGAAGGCTCCACAACTAAAGTTCTTGGAGGAAAAAATGTGCATGTAAAATTGCTCTATGACCTTAATAATATCTATTCAGTATTCCAAGAGTTGCAGGGTCTGGAGAAATGGGCTCGATAACATTTGGATTCATGAATTCTTACCTGTAAATAATCATGTTGAGAAAACTTAACAGCTATGTTTGAAAAGAAAAGGATACCGAAGATCCTCCTCAATCCTCAATGCTAGGGTCAAAGAAATAAACAGAATGTCTTCTTTTGCTTTCTTTTGTGACTGCTTTCAACAGAAACAAAGTAAAAATTCAGATTTTCTTTAAGAAAACAAACAAGTCATCCAATCTGCCCTGAAATGCTACTCAAATCTACAAAAAGAAATAGGATATTTAAAATTATAACTGTGAGATGAATTTATTTTGAAAATTTACCAGTATATTTTAATTGTACAAAGGAGTTTAATTATATTTCTAGACATGTATCTAGTGTACGTTGATCATATTCACACCTGTATTACTCTTTCTTATCCCCCCTTTTATACCATCAAAAACATCAAAAGGATGCTTTTTTTTGGAGGGGGGTGCTGGGGTTTGGACTCAGGGTCTTATGCTTGCCATGCAAGCACTCTTCTACTTGAGCCATTTTGCCATTCAAAAAGATGCATTTTGAAGTGGAGTATGTATGTATTTATCACATACTGAAAAACTTTGAGAGTCAATTCTACTCAAAAGAAAAGGGTCTTCCAGTAGTAATTTTCACTGTTTTAAATCATTAATAGAAATGAATGATAGCTACATCTTTGTATGATATATCTTTGGTGGTGATTATTTGAGTCTGAGCCCTCTTTTAAGTTAAACAAAATTATGGGACACCATTGTTTTGGAGGAGCTTCTGGACTAAAACCCCTACAGATCAGACCAAACCCAAATGGAGTCACTCCTGCTAAATGCTATGTAATCAAACAGAAACACTAAGGAGCCAAAGGAAGGTTGTAATGAAAAGCACCTGTCACTCACCATGACAACCACTAAAAAGTACTACTCTTTCATGTATGAGACACCAAGAGGCTGATGTTAAAACAAAATAAAACTACTTGGCTTCAAAGAAACTACTTGAAAATAACAAAGAGCAATATAAAAAAGCCTTTGTGGCTTATTTAATTCATTCAAGAGCTACAAATGACACCTACAGGATTGGTGTCAGACACATCCAGCATAAGTACTGGGGCAGTTATGCGTGTGCTGGGGAAAGTCAATCATGCTGGAATCTCCCCTCTGTCAGTTGTTCTGTTATGGTATCAAGAACAATAAGCCCTCCAAAATCAGACAGGAGAACACCACCTCCATCAGAAATCAGTGTGAGAGGAACTTGGATTTGCACTTTTCTTTCATGATGGACTTTACAATCTAACTTATCTACATTCAGAAAAAAAATTGGTAGT